GAGAGAGTGGAAGCAGAAAATGAAGTGGTAAATAACTCTGGACACATACCGTATGTGCAGTGTGCTCTATATACACGAAGCTTGCCTGTTCAATGAAAAACATAGCCGAACCTGAGCTGCGCCAAACTCCCTTTGCACTGCCCGCTGTCTAGGTGGAAATCTGCGTATGTTCCCCGGCGATATACGTTGAAAGTTAGATTACTACACCTTCCTGGTCAGCGGCTCCGAAGAAGCGCAGGTCTCCGGCATTTTGAGTAAAAAGTAGCTCCTGGGATCATCCGTGCCTTGTGTCGGGGTTATACACGAGGCATACAGGACAAATGGAGGTATGATCTGCGTGACCAACTTGGTCCATCTGGTTTCCTCGGGAGCGAGGAAGCCTCTCTTTTCGCCTCCTCGTGCTTCGTCTTGTATATAGAGTCAACTATTGTTGTTTTTAAAATTGGTTATTCATCTTTAAGCGGCTGTCCTCATCTACGGATACAGGGGACTATCAAACACCACGACAGTATTTCTTGGAGCTGGTCATCTCCTAGAAATACACTATAGCTCCTGGGGGGATTGTAAAATCTAGGAGCGTTAGATTTACCCCTGGGATCTTCTGTGAGGAATGTGAAGGCCTCACGTATATGTAGAAGTAGATAGTGTTTCAAGATGAATTATAAATATTGAGAACAGCTAATTATACTCGACTTTAGGTGACACTAGATACATAATGTAGCGCGAGGAAGCGAAAGGAAGGTAGCTTCCTCGCGTTCAGGGGAATCTAGATGCACTCTGTGGGTCCCGGGCAGATCGTATCGTCATCCGTCCTATATGTTTCATGCGTATCTCTCACCCCGATCAATCAGAATCCCAGGAGCCTGCCGTCCGAAGTCTAGGCAAACTCCAACGTGCAAACACTTATAAGGTCGGACCCGCTCCAAATATATTGCCTTTTTTTCACTCCCAACAAGAATCTTTTTCTCTTGTTACCCTATCTTCCTCTGCCTCGTTGTGATCATTCGACTTTGTATGAACTTGCGTGTTCAGAATGACCAACCTGATCAATGTGTCCTACAGCACTGTGTTGGTTGCAACAGATGCTCGACTGAGCATCATTGCTCTTTCAGACCAAATCAAAACAACTGGAGACACACCTGAGGCTTTGACCGACCTTTTGAATCAGTTGGCTTCTCTTGAAACTGTTGTACAGCGCCTTTCACTCGCCTCTGGCTACTCCCCGGCCACGACCAGGGATGACATTGAAGCGCACGTTCATTCACTACTACTGGACTGCGAAAAGACATGCGACGAGTTTGAAAAGACTTTTCGCGCTTTTATTGACCGCTCGTTGGGTGGAACAACTCGCAAATTGAACCGTGATCGCTTCGGTATTTATGGAGAATTAGAGGTGCAATTGCTGAGCAAACGGCTAGCCCGGTGGAAGGACGTTTTGTCGAGCATCATCGACCCTTTTCTGTACGTGAAAATCATTATTGGGAAATTCTCATAGAAGTCAGCTGACAAATTGCAACTCGATTAAGAATTCTTCCTCTGTATCCGTCGGAGAACGTCAGCCAGGAGAGACAAGCCGAGCTCCTAGCCAGGGAGAATGGCATTGTAAATGTGATCGGAAAGTTTGACGAGGA